TTTTGGTGGTGTGTTTTTTTTTTTTTAAATTTAGTAAAGTTACATGCAAAATAGAAATATTTGTAAACTAATTATTAAACATAGGAACAGTTTTCACATTTTAGTTTTCAATAATGCAAGAATAAAACTGGCACATAAAAGGTTTTCTTCATTCTAGTATTTATAATATAAATTAGTCTGAACAGTAAAATTTATTTTGTTTTCAGTGTAATAGCAAATTTTATCAAATTGAACAGGATATCCATAACTTGACTAAGACTTAGCAGTCATATGTGAAGATTCGAACTTTAAAACTGTAATGAAATACTTTGATTTTTATATCCAAAACCTGAGCAAATCTGAAAATTCTCATAATTCAGAAATGCTTATGAATAATATTAATCTGGGATCACTGACGCCTAGCTGTTTTGTTGTATAAATAAATGTTATAATATGCATCGTGTTATCCAGAAATAGAAAAAGCACAAAACAGCTGTCTTGTGATTAGTTTGATTAGTTTGACCTTAGATATTCTTACAGTACAGAATCTTTTCCACTGACATCTTCAAGATTCCTTTAGCAACTTTGAATTTACTGGCATCTTTGAAAAACAGCTGTTGATTGATATATCTGTATACCAGGTGACATTGCTGCCTTATTTTTTTTTTTAACCAAACAAATCAGAAATATGTGTATAATGAGAGAAAGTCAAACATTTTAGTCCTTTTGTTGTCATTAAATATAGTAAGAAAATAATCCTTTACCGCCTCTTTGCACAGATGTTGTAGTAAGTAGTAGAAATATAGTCCCTACAGCTGGGAACACACAGAATTTGCTTTATTTTATACAGCAATGAGGAAAGCCAAGATTAGGTAGAAGCCACGTGTTCTCCATTTCTCCCCACGTAGACACACAGGCATATAAATACCCATCTTGTCCTGCCTTGTGGTGCTGTTGTTGGAGAATGTTACATCCCTCAGAAGAGATGTACGTTGTTAACTGTGAGGCCTGAGAGACAAAACGTTTCTCAGCTGTGGTTAGATTAAAAGTCTATGTTCATGAGCCCTCCTAGGTTCGTGCGGGACTGGGAGTGGAAATTAAATTTCATGGAAATCATACAGAGCTAAGGCCTCATCAATTTAGATTTACAATATAGCCAAAGTTAACTGTTTTCAATGGAAGGAAAGCAGTTAAAAATGTACATGCAAACCTTTTTTTTGTGTGGAGGAAATCCTATCTACTTAAGGCATTTCACCATGTCAGAACCTTATACTTTAACAGAAGACTTTGGATATACACCCTTGTGTATATACGTGTATGTGTACATGTGTAGTATCATTGCTAGGTACCTTTGTGGACATCTTAGATGAAACTATAATATAGACAACATAACAATTTTTCAAAACTAGAAGTAGACATTTTTTGTAGTGGAACGATTTAGCAAAGCCTTTTTAGTTGCCTGAAGATCAGAAGAACTGATATTACTAGTCATGGGCAGTTAACCTCTGGAAGGGGTGGAGGTTATAGGCTTTTGCTCAAAGAATTGTAAATGGCTGCTGATTCCGGATTTTATTACCTTAGAGCAGAAATATGAGTAGGATAAAATGGAATTACTTTGTGACCTGTAGTAGCTGATAGGTGCAGCCACAATTCCCTGTTTTTCCTCTTCAGTGTAATCTTGGCATTTTTATTTCCTCTATTCCCAGCATACAGAACGTGTGTGTGATGTGAACAGATGCACAGAAAAAATCCCAATTAGTAAGGAAAAAACCATGCATGAAACACAATCATCCCCCATATTAAGTGATTGTTAAAATGACAGATTAGTTTTTATTTATTTATTTTTATTTTGCTTCTTCTAAAACTTAATAAAAATCTAAAACATCACAGTTCTGGGATAGAAATACTTTTACCATGAAACTGCTCTGGCATTATTGGTAGACTTTGCTGAAACAAGTTAGCTGTGCTGACTATGAAAACAAAATTCCTGCTAAAGAATTACTATACCCTCTTAGCTTTTGGAGTTTGTGCCTAGCAAGCCAGACCTCTGGACTTACATGCTTCTCCAAGTCCTTCTAAGCTGTAGTATATCTGTACATAGTGAATTTCATGCACGCGCTGTGTTATAATGATTCAGGAGTTTCATAGAATTAATCACTTTATACATAATCAAATTCTCCAAAACATCGCAGTCATTTACTGTGTCATAAAGTGACATATAGACTAGCTTTAATTTGCTGTTTAACTCACAGTGGTTTGCAAACTGAAGCCTTTTAAATTGAAAATACAAAGTGATAACGCCTCAAGATTGAGAGAATATTTCTATAGACGTTTTATGGATGGTGCAGGAAAACTGTTTAATTTTAACACCTGCTTTGTGTATAATACAAAAATTGAGATCAGTGGCAAATGACTAAGTATATCTCTATTCAGTGAGTGACTTAAGCTTGCGCTTGCCTTGAAGCATGTACTCAAGCCTCTTCAGCTGCTTCTTTAGTGCAGTGGAGGTGTCTGTGCAAGGGCAGTTGTCAGTATGGGTCCTCCTGCCTTCCGATGACATGGTTGCCTGCAGTTGTTTCTTGGCCACACACTAACCTCGTGGGTGCACCTGCGCATATGGAGTCCTATGGACTCCACAGGATGAACTTGGGCTATAACCGGGACCATGCCTGTCGGCATCCTTCTTCTTCACCCTTGAGGCAGCTCTCCAGATACAAAGTGGACATAACTCTCAATGTCACTTGCTTAAAGGAATATAAGCCAATGTTTAAATTTTAGATGTCTGTTGATTTTATTTTTTTAAAGATGTGTGGTTAATTACAAAAATGGACTCTTAAGAAGGAGTCTATTCTATTTTATTGCTTTATTTGGAAATCTGTTTACAGAAGACAGTTCCCAGTGTTTATGGCCAGGGATTTGCACTTCATGCTTACAGAAAAATTGACTATTTGGAAGATACTATATAACACCAAGGTACTCTGACAACCTATAATGTACTTTCACCGGATAATTTTCCACTTATGGTAGTTAGAAATTCTGTTGTTTACTAGTAGGCAGATCTTACTTTCATTAAGGATAACATGACATTCTATATCCCATCCAATGGCTCAAGCCTTTGGGAAGGTAGGCAGCTGGCTGACCATTAGAGTAACCTTGCCAACAGCTCACCCTTAAACACTGTTTCCTTTACAGGACTCTACTTTATCAGTCACGTAGTAATAGGAGTGGCAGTATGAAGGAGCTATAGGTTCCTCTTTTGTTCTACTAGGGGCAGCTGTTATGTTGTGCAGCATGGGATACAGCAGCATCTCTTTTGTTCCCACTGCAGTGAAAATTTCTTATCTGAAATTTAAGAATAAGAACAATATCTTACAACCTTTGTTGTCAATGTTCAAGGTAGAAGAACTAAAGGGTTGTGCTGCAAGTCCTAAAAGGCTGAAGAATGATGGTGACTTTCCTGAGGGAAGATTAAGAGAACTGTAACCATTTCTAGCCATTACTACCTTAGCACTTCAGCATAGTTGATGGGGAAGACAGTCACTGTTTTACTTACCTGTAGGCCTGTCAAAACAAAGGGTGATCTCAAAATTATAGAGCAGGTCTGTTCCATTATATTCATTTTGCAACAACAGTTTTGGCAGTGTGACAGAGTAGTTTTGATTCAAAGTAGATCAAATCAAAGTTCCTGTTATCTAGAGGTTAAAGGCTACTTACTTGATTGGGTCTAAAGTCCATTTTAAACAGCCAAAGTGACCAAGTTATTTTAGTTCCATAACATCTAGTCTATTTTTAGATTAGAATGTTCTTTTTATAAATCATGGAAAATGACATGGAAAAATCATGGAAAAAGACAGACCCTAGTTATAAAACAGTAAGTGTTTTACACTTGCTGTTACTTACAAACTTTTCATAGTTGAAGTATGTCTAAATCAAGGATTTTGGTTCAGCTGTCAGAACAGGACTCGGAAGAACATATCTCAATCTAAATTCACTTGATTTGCTGAAGATTTTTGCAGATTGAAGCTTTTTATTTGTTTACTACTTTCAAGATCTGCACAAATACATATGGAATTTGGAAAGTCATAAATTAAATTTCCTTGAGCCTTCGGTTTAAGACTCTAGGATAAAACTTTTGACATACTTGAACGACTAAAGTTTTTTAGATATTTCTGGTTATTTGGAGGAAAATCACCACTATTTAATACCAACTACTTTTTTTTTTTCCTTAATATAAAAAACCTTAAGATTTTCAGGCACTTGGGAAGAATGATGATTAGAATTTGCAAAACTGAAAAATTAATTGTGGAAGACTTTTAATTCTATTCATATGCATGCTATTGAGAGGTGCAATTAAAGTCAGTGTTATCTGTCTGTTTAAAAAGAAAAAAGAATTTTTTTTCCCAGTTATGCTGCTTTAATTTCACATCACTGTTGTTTGTTTGTTTGTCTTAATGACTTGCATGCTTCCTAAAGCACATAAATGTTCTATAAAACATACTATTAAAATGCAATTGTATTTCATCTGGCCGTTCATAATTATTTAGGTGGTTATTTTTCTCATATATGTTTTTGTCAGTTATTCATCTAACTGAACCACTGTTCTGTGAGCCCACTAGTTGTCTCTGCTGCCTTTTGAAGTACAGATCAGATCAGTTCAGTCTAGTAGCATACTTAAGACAGCCATTCTGTTCTAAGGCTGGCCTGAGCCCTGGATGCCAGCAAATCTCATTTGCTTCTATGACATGAGATGTCAGAGCCTTCCTAAGAAGAACCTCAAAGCTGGGTTAGCTGCCCAGTGTTATCAATGCAATGTTACTATACAGCCTAATGCATTATATGGTGACAAACTGAAGCCAAATGATAGATGGGGCCTAAACATTCCCCTAAAACCTGCACCTGATTTGTGAGTTTGCATCTCAACCCTTTGGACATGAGACACTTGGAACTCAGCTTGGGCCCGAACTCATTACAGAGATAACTAGCTTCTTTTAAAATGTCTTTTCTCTTTGTATTTTCAGGAATTACAATGGTTGACACAGAAATGCCGTTTTGGCCCATTAATTTTGGAATTAGTCCAGTGGATCTGTCTGCGATGGATGATCATACACATTCCTTTGACATAAAGCCATTTACCACTGTTGATTTTTCAAGCATTTCTTCACCGCACTATGAAGATATTCCTCTTGCAAGAACTGATCAGACAAGCATTGATTATAAATATGATATCAAGCTCCAGGACTGCCAAAGTATGCTTTTAATTTTTTTAGTATTTCCTTCATGTTCACATTTGTTTCGTTCTCTGGAAAGTGTACTATCAGCAAAAGGATTTAGAAGTATTCGGATGCCTAGATGCTGGTATCCTGTGTCATCAGAGATGTCCATGAGATATTCTTGCAGGGCAGATAGAAAAGATAGAATACATATAGCAGACCTTGACCCTTCCAGAGCAGCAGTTGGAGATTAGGCAAGGTATCATAAAGTATCCAAAATGACATTAAACACTTTTTATTAGACACATGAACCCCACCATTTGTTTCTGAAACCTTCAGTTTCCTGTTCATGTATCTTGTGTGTAAATTGTCCTTTGAAGTTCTGTGCACACAATGCAGAATAAATATCCTGGATGTTAAAAAATGCCCCAGCATACATAGCGCATTAATTATTAATATGTGTAGCTTTTACCTTCCAAACTAAGAAACTGATGGAGTAGAAATATTGGCTATATCTGAGTCACAACGTTGGCGTAACTTTTATCAGTGTTCCTAATGCAGGCATAACTTTGGAGCTTCATGGGCTAGTATTATTTATATACTATGAAAAATGCCCCTCTTTCATCAGTTACAGTAAAAAAAATTACACAGAACTCTCCTTTTAAGAAAGGAAATGACCTATTCTTAAATAAGTTGTTACTGCATTCCTGCTCAAAGTAGGAATGTCAGGTTGCTGTACCTGGAACTTTTTTAAAGATCCACTTAGCCTAGTTAGATCTGACATCACTTTTGTTTGTAGGAATGTGTACAGGAATTCTTTCAGGGAATTCTTGCTAGGAAAATTGTGGTATTTAATTTTGGTTGTACAGAGAAGCAGGTGCTGTGTACTTCTGGGTTACTTATGAAATGAATTAAAAGACATGTTTCCCACTAGTACTTTATTTTTCTTTTGTTTACTTAGAAATGTCCATAACACTTTAATAACAAGCTAGAGAGTGCAGTAGAGTTTAGGTAGGATAAATGATTTTTGTCTTTACTTAGATAATTTTCCACTGTTCTTTTTTCTTCCTAGTTTATATAGGAAAGAAAACTTTCTAGTTTGTATAGTGTAGCCAGCCTGGAAAAGAAAAACATTCACCTTATTGTAATACTATGTCTGTTACATCACTCCTGAGACATGATCTGATGTAATGTTACAGTGTCAAATGTCACAGCTTTCTTCTATGACCAGTAATGATTGATTTAAAGATATCACATTTGGTTGGTTGAGCTTGTTCAATATTACAAATTGCTCTCTTAATTAGAAACTTTCAGAAGAGAAAATGAATCTCTAACCTGTATCCAAAGTTGAACAGCGTTCCCCAGGAGAGCGCTAAATTTCTTTAAATATCCAATATTATATTATCCTATATATATTATCCAATAATATATTATTCAACATATAGGTCTGTTAGATACTTAAATATTTGGTTTAGACTAGATTAGAAACTCCAGTCCATCTCCCTGCAGTAGTTCTGAACACCTTAAAGTAATACAACCAGATTAGATACTGAGAAAAGTAAGGCCTTTCAAGTATGAGGTCTCCATATGTAAATTCTTCATATCCCTATCTTCAAATCATTCCACACCACAGAGCTGAAAACTGAATCTGTAATACACTTTCTACATCAGAATCTGCCTCTTCAAGGTTTTCCAGCCTATATACTGCCAGTGAGATAGCTGCGTACAGCTTACATCCCTTTACACCTTTTGTTTACTACTCGTTTTGTGTTATGAAACAGACCTATGAATCTGTCTCTGTTTACTGTGATTGCTTGTGATTACTCCTTGCTGCTTCTTCTTCTTCTAGATATTTAATTATACTTTGAGTTTATCATTTGAATCTTCTCCATACACAGGTGCAATCAAAATGGAGCCTCCTTCCCCACCCTATTTTTCAGAAAAAGTTCAGTTGTACAATAAACCTCATGAGGAGTCTTCCAACTCCCTTATGGCTATTGAATGCCGTGTGTGTGGGGACAAGGCCTCTGGATTTCATTATGGTGTGCATGCATGCGAGGGTTGTAAGGTAAGTTGTCACAAATGTATTTTTTCTCAAGTAAGATTTGATACTATTTTCATCTGAATAAGCACTGGGTAAAATCAGAGATCTGTGCTTTTTAAAAAAAGTTTTAGGTCTTTACGTAAATTGTTCCACATACACTGCATATACTTTATGACTTAATAAGTGGGAGTTTTTTAAAATATAATTTTCTCTTTTTCTGTTGTAAATTCCTGTTACTGATCATTCCTGTTACTAATCTATTCAAATTTTTTATGCATGTCTTCTACTTTTGTCAATTATGCAATTATATTTCATTCCTGCTGTCTTGGAGGTCATTTGCACAATCTGAATTCATAGAACGCAGCAAAAGCAGACTCATGCCCAACTCCAAAGCTCAATACTCTGAGCAATTTAAAATTTAGACTCTCTTATTCTGATTGATTAGAGTTTCTTTACCCAATTTACACACTTCTAGGTGACTACAGAAAAGTCTAATGGTATTATAGAATGTAGCTTTCTGCTTTAAAACTCCATACCGTTGGTTTTTTTATGTCAGAGATATTTAGTGTTTATAACACATGAAGGACAAATGAATGGTGTAAAAATTGACCATCCTCAAGAATGAGAAAAGAAATGCCAGAGAAAGACATTAATAATAATTCATTGAGTTCAAAGAAAAATATTACAGTTTAATGTGAAATTCCCATTTTCTCTGTTTTCAATATCTTGAGGAAAATAACTAATAGGAAAGGCCCAATGCAGAGCTTAAATAAAATTTGTAGCACTGAATTAGGAACACACGTAAAGCAATAAGTATGCTGTTGATTACTTAAATTACAGTGAATTATATAAATAAGAGTTGGCATTATGCTTTCATTGTTATTATTCACTGTGAGGAAAAATTGTTACAAGGAACGAATGATGATAAATTTGGATAAACTTTATTAATTGATTATGAGTGATCTGAGAAAGCTTCTTTAAACTGGAAAAAGGCAGAATTGTGAATTTCCATAATGATTTCTCTCTTTATAAGACTTCATAAGACTTCTGTGCAATAATTTCCATGAGTTTAGCACCAAGTTTTTGGATTTTTCATGTGCCAATGTACTTTGCAAACTTGTAATATCCAAACAATGGAGATAAACTAGAAAATAAAACAACCTAGAAAATAGAACCCAGAAATAAATATTGCAAAATTTGTTCAACACTTTGCAAAAACAAAGAAATAGAATAGATGAAAAAATATAAATTATCTTTAAGCACTCAGGCTCAAAAAGGAAAATAAATATTTGAAATAGAACAAAAGAATACTTAGTTGGGAAAGAAAATTTACACAAAGAGATAACCCACAACCTTTTTTATTTACTTGAGATCAAACTGCTGCTGGCAGAATTTTTGGTTTGTTGTGATTTATAAAAAAATTGCCTACATTGGCAGTGAACTTTAAATTTTGAAAATTTCGTGTTCACTTTATAACAAATTGTCCGATGAGCAGTGGAACAAATGGAGCTTTGCTTCCTTTGGCACAGTGTTCTTCATGCTCAGCACGTCTGTAGAGCTCTCAACTTACGTCCCTAGTGTCCTTTAAACCCCATTGATTCCCATAAGCTTCCTCAGCTATTTGAGATTTTTAGCCCTCTGTCAAACTAGGTTGAAAATGACTAATAAGATCAGAACAGGAGCGCACTGATAAGCAGGCAATATGATCACATGAGCCTTGCTTCCTTTGGAAATCTGTCTAAACCAAAGTTAGGTTCAGTGTGTATACAGAAAGGCGCTTTGTGTGTATAGAGTGAGACTGGCAGTTTCTTGCATCCTTTTACATGTTTTTCTGTTTACTTCAGGGCTTTTTTCGAAGAACAATCAGATTAAAGCTAATTTATGACAGGTGTGATCTTAATTGCCGCATCCATAAGAAAAGCAGAAATAAATGTCAATACTGCAGATTTCAGAAATGCCTCGCCGTTGGAATGTCACATAATGGTAAGTGCACACAGCATATTTTAAAACAATAATGTTTCATCTGAAAGATAACATGAAATGTTAATATGATTACTGAATGTGGTGCTTTAACATCTAGAGTCTTCTGTTTCTTTACACTAGGCAGTTTAGAAATACGTATCAGAGAGATTGCCTCTGAGTTTAGGAGACTGTATACGATTGGAGATTACTTTAAATATAAAAATCAGATAGGTAGTGAGTTTAGGACTGTATACGATTGGAGATTACTTTAAATATAAAAATCAGATAGGTAGAGATCTGCACTTATCAATATAATACATAATATAATTTAAGAGTTGGTTTTACTCTCCATCCTTCTTGCTCATTACACTGTTGGTTGTTCTTCCTGAACATGCTCCTAGTGTAATTGTTATTTTTCAGTTCATTTTCTTATTTTCTGACAAGACTCTTTTGCATACTGTAGCTCAATATCCCCTTCCTGTAAGCGGAAAACTTAATTTAATTATCAAAAATGGACTAGAGAATTTACTGAAACTTTGTGAAAAATAACTAGAATTTGATGCATAGGACACTTACCGAGGACTGTGTTAGCATCACTAACTTAACACTTCCTCATACTAGAACACAACATACTTTAAATGAATGGGCCAGACCCTGTACTGTTATAAAAAAAAAAAAAGTCGTCCTCCTTCCTAGGATACCCATCTGGGCGTCGATTCCCATGTGTGGTAAGTGGGAGCGTAGTGTTTCTTAGCGTGCCCATTCAGCTGTCGGCCTCTCATCATATAGTGTGTGTAGCTGTGATTCCAGTGTAATGCGCACTGTCTGACCTCCCCACCATCCAGAGGTGAATATCCCCTCCCATCTGTGAACTGTAAGCAGCGTTTCCATTTTGAATATGTTGTAGTCTTAGATTGCAAAGGTGTTTGGAATTGTGTATGGTTCTGTGATTGCCTTCTTTACAGTAGGTAAGCAGATAGCATTAAGCATATCATGATACTGCTCTCCTGCACAGAATTTAGAAGGAAGTCCCTCTGAACTTTAAAATTAACATATCGATTCATGTGGAAATACTTACTTGCGAATGTTTGGACAGAAGGACATAATGAAGATTCTTTGCTGCCTTGCTTTGGCAAAGTTGAGTAAAAACAGGAATTAAATGTCATAACATAGAGACTTATGTAATTCTAAGGGTAAAGAATTGCAATCATGACTGGGAAAATAATTTCTCTGTGGTTTTTTTAGAACTTTCATTATTTTCAATATAAAAAATGAGTGTACTGTCCCCAAGAGGAAAGCTTAACTGTGGTTTGCAAAGTTAATACATGCAGTGAATGTAAATTGGTATGGGAAATGTTTTGCTAATAGAAAATATGGTTTTCAAGTTCCTGGGATGCAACAGTAACGCTTAAAAGTAAATCTAATTTTGAAATGCTACTGTGGGTATTTGTAATTCAGGAGGTTTTATTATTATTATTTTCAAGGTGCATGCCAAATTCTCTCATAACCTAGCAACACAGCTTCCAATTATGTCAATGGGAACCATGTGCAGTTCTATCAAGAAGAGGAAGGCCAAGACCGTTCTCTCTGGCTTAGTAACATAAAGGGCCCCAGAAATATTTTCAAAATTAACATTTCACCTGCCATTTTTTCCTGTTCAGCCACTGCCAAGGCAGAAGCTGTGGCACCAGCAGGAGCCATGGTTATGGGAGTCGGGGGGAGGCATAGAGAGGAGGGGGAAAGGGCAAACCCATTTGTCCCAGGGCTTGAAGGAACGCTTTCATTTGCTCTCACCACGAGTTCACCTAACAGGGAGTTAGTAGTGTTTGTATTCAAGTATTGGCTTCTACATTTGCCTTTTTTGCCCACTCTGGTTACATTACATTTCATGAAACAACACCCTAATTCCTCCACCATTTATAAACAAAAAAATCTATAAAAAAGAACTGCATTTCGCCTTTGAAGACACAGGCCTGTATAAAGAAGCATGCAGAAATGCAACACTGGATGTTGTCAATGACACTGAGACACATTTTTATGTTACATCTACAGATTAAAGTTCATCCGTTTGGGTAGTGAAATTATCTGAATTTTAAATGCTTGGAATCAGAATGTGGATTATTTGTGCCTGAGGGTTCCAATCTATGATTGTCTTTGCATAGATATATTATTGCAAAATGAATAGGGTACTTACAAAAACGGGGAATGCAAGGAGACACTTAGCAGCTACAGCCACATTTTTTCATGTATAAATGCTACATACCACTTGGCTGAAGGTTAAAAAAGACAGTAGTGTTCTCATGCTTCGAATATTGTTTTCCTTTCCTTCTCTAGCCACAGTGCTGCTCTGTGTTTAACCCTTAACTGCTCAGATTGTATTCTGAAGTACACTAAGCAGAAGCTTGGTTCTTTTATTTTAGAAATTTCATTGATTTTTTTTTTCTCTTCTACTATATATAAAACCAACTACTGTAATGGGGAAAAGAGCACACATGGCAATATGTCTTTATGATCAGTTCTGGGAGCAGTGAATTGCTCAATCTGGGCACATACCTCCAGTAAACTCAGAGAGGTATCTGCCCTGGCTCTATCTTGTGTTTTCTAGTGTAAGAAACTGTGTTAATAGTCTATTTGGGGACTTGTTTATGCTCAAAAATAACCTAGACAGTCAGAAGAGTAGAGTGCTCTACAGAACAGTCTATAAGCAATCGTAGTGACTTCCCCAAGCCATAAAATGTGGCATAAGGATAAATATTCTAGTTTTTCCACACAAAGGCAAAGAATATAATGTAGCATGTAGTGTCTTACTATATTCACTGTTGGTTTTATATCACTGACATTTGGAGAATACTGTAAATACAAGTAAAAGAAAGAACTGCCAAAGGAAAGAGAGAGAGAGATTGTAAGTTCCAGCTGCAGGCACGTGCCCAAACTTGCACAATCTTCTATTACTGTGAAAGAAATTGCCATCTGAACCCCTTCCACCCTTGCAGCATGAGCAGAGAGCCATAGTTCCAGATCTCTTATGCCAGCTCACTGGCTTGTCCCTGCCCTTCCCGTCCCTACAGATCCTGCCTTGATCCACTTCCCAGGCTCCCAGGAGATAAGGAAGCGGGGCCTGCTGTGAGGGTAGATGGAAGAGAGAAAAGGTAGAGTAGCAAGGAGGATAAGTGGTCCAGGGAAATAGAAGATGAGGTCAGGGTCACAGGAGGGAGGTGGAGAAAGAAGCAGAAAAGGGAGAAGATCGTGCCACCCAGCCTTGAAATTTTCCTGAACCACCAGAAATGCTGTGAACTCTTATCCACCCTGTGAACTCTCCTTTTTCCACCCTAACCTCTGTAAGTATCATCAATCCCTTCTACTTCTCCTCTCACCCAAAATCCCACTTTCCAAATTCCTTCCGTAAACCTCCTGGTGCTTGACCTCTCCCTGACTTTTGTCTCAGTCCCCTGAAAATGACAACGACAATGACTTCTCCAAAAGGAAATGACTAGGCTAGTACCACAAAATTGAATTTTGCCCCAAATTTTGCCTGCAATGCTAATAAACATTGAACAGAATCTGCTGCAACTAATACAATATTTATCAAATATATTCTAAACATTAAAAAAAATATTTTAAAACTATCCTTTTGCCTATCAAATTATAAGAGAGTAATGTTTGGTTCAGAACTCTCGTAACTTTATGTTGTTAATAAATTGCTATATTTAAAATATATATTTGAGTCCTGATCACCTTTTGTTTGGGAAACTTTATTCTCATAATTAATGAATTACATCAGAAATCTTCCAAGACACATATTTTCATGAAATAGGGACAGTGTTTAAAAGTGGATCATGAAAGATCCACTGCGATTAATCTATCCTACAAACACACATTTAGAAAGAAACAAACATATGTGGAAATTATAGATTGCTAATAAATATACAATCCATACAAAAATAAAGATGCATAACAAACTTTACCCCAGGCACAGTTTTCACACACTAAACACGAGAAAATACTATGAGATTCCTGACAGATTTCATTATTACCAAATTATTTTATGTAAAAGTCTGATATTGTGATGGCAGGCAACAAGATACACCCTAAGGATTTATATAGTACAGAAACCAGTAAGATCTGATTTCCATTCTTAGTGAAGTCAATTCATGTATTTAGAAGAAGACTTGGTCCTATCTGCTAAATGCAAACTCTGCTAATATTAGTGGCTGTTTTGCTGAACTGATAGACATGTGATCCGATAGCTGGCAATCCTGCCCAAGTGGGCTGTTAAACCAAGGATGGCTGGTTTAGGCCAGTAAGAGATAACCCCCACTATACCGCTTTGATTAGCTAATCAGCTAGTGCATTCTTTGATAACAACGGGTAGTTTGGACTGATTTGACATTGATGTAATAGCTTTCTGTGCTATGAGTAAGCTTGCTTTGTTACATCTAACTCAATTCTGAACGCAGCATGCAAGCATTCAAGAATAGAAGTTAGTGTTTATAACCTAGTTTACCATATAACCACATATGTGCTAATTTTCTTTCAAAGTAATCTCCTCGGCATTTTAACAGACTTGCTATATAATTCAATGTTAACTTAGGCAGTAGTACTTATTTCTTCTCTTGTTTGTGGGTTTTTTTCCTTTTTCATTTACACAAAAGGAATTTTAAATAATCTTTTTTAAAAAAGAAACCGGGAATCTGATCTTCGTAGAAAAGTTAGCATCATAAGGCCCCGTGCCAAACCTATGCCAAATATTCCTTAAAAATGTATGGCAAATTTCTATGCAGCTTTAATCATGCATCATTTGATATAGTCTTCCTCCGCGTCTTTGGGCTTTAACTCCAAAACAGATTGTACATAAGGGTGCTTGCATTCATAAAATTTAGCACAGTGAAGACAATGCTCTGATTTGACATTAATGTTCACAGTGGTTTTTGACAGTATAAATAAAAATTATACAAATTCTCAAACACATGGGAAAAAAACCTTAAATATTATTCCAACAATGAAGAGTACTGAAACAAATAGCAAAGTAAGAAATAATATTTGGGGTTTATAGCACTTTTCATGCAGAGATCTCAAAGCACTTTTCAGGAAAATAAGTATCACCATCACAAGCAAAATAAAAATAAATGTTAAGTTAAAGAAGGCATCTATTCTAGAACTGTTAACAGTAAATGAAATATTAACAGCGTGATTCCAACAAGGAAGAGTACTGAAACAAATAGCAAAGTAAGAAATAATATTTGGGGTTTATAGCACTTTTCATGCAGAGATCTCAAAGCACTTTTCAGGAAAATAAGTATCACCATCACAAGCAAAATAAAAATAAATGTTAAGTTAAAGAAGGCATCTATTCTAGAACTGTTAACAGTAAATGAAATATTAACAGCGTGATGAACTTCAATGCAATCTGTAAATTAATGCAAGTAATTTTATATTAGAAGCACTAATATAAAATTATTAGAAGCTTATAACGCATGCCTACTTTGCAAAGGTAATTTGGTATCCTTTGTTGGGGATAGATAAGCACACCAGAAATGTGATTCTGGAACACCCTTAGTCAATCTTATTTTCCATTAAAAAAATAAACACATTGTAAGTTATCATTTATTATAAATTCTACACCAGTGTTATTGTAAACTTTTAACAGAGAACTATCAACAATATGTTGTTTAGCAATACGAAATTGCTAGCACAAATACTCTAACTTACTTTCCAAGAGGCTTTTGGACAGGAGATGAGACTATGTGCAGGAATCACGGTATAGGATAAGGGGCATATTTAGAAAACATAGTATACATACTACGCTGTCATTTTATACTCAAAACTAAAAGTAAGCCTATTTTATACTGACAGTATCAGTGCAACAGTAGATAGATACAGTTATGTGGAAAACTACCCTAAGTTTTAAAAAAGAAACTATCCCCCTCAGTACTGGCAAACTTACTTGAAAAATACAGGCACTAGTCTGTTCATCCATGTATGGATTTCTAGCAAGATGTTTGTTACCAGTCTCATTTCTGTTCTTTAAAAAAATACAATTATACAGCTTAGTCAGTTATTCTCTAATGACAAAACAATCTCTCTTTTGAAAATCCCTGATCTTTTCAATAAAACCTCTACATTAAACAACTCTATTTCAGTAATCAGTGTCATAATGCTATATCACAGTGTATATACCAGCTAAGAATGTTCCAG